TATTACAGTTGAAGTTTGAATAAATTAATTCAGGGTATTTTTTCATACTTTAAAAGATTAGTTAATTTAATGATTTTTGCAAGAAAGACTTCCATTGCAAACCAACGTCATTATCGATGTGCCGTCCTACAACATATTATGTTGACCGTAAAATATCTTAATCAGATGGCATAACTTCAGGAGTATAAGCAGGTTATGGCAATAAGCAAGAAACTACTTATATTTTTACTAATATTGTCGTGTTCAACTCGAACAATATATAGTTAACTACATCAAACCGTGAAATTAACTCTTTTTAACTTCAAATTAACCGTTTTTATTTCATGGCAACCCTTTTTAACTTCAAATTACGTTTTTAAAATTTGAAATTAATCATTTTTAATTTCCAATTAACCGTTTTTATTTCATGGCAACCCTTTTTAACTTTAAATTACTTTTTTTAAATTTGAAATTAACCATTTTTAACTTCCAATTAACCCTTTTTATTTCAAGTCAACCCTTTTTAACTTCAAATTAATCTTTTGTATATTTGAAATTAATTTTATTAACATGAAATTAACCTTGGTTTGTTTCAAATTAGCCATTTTTAACTTCAAATAACTTTCTGTATCTTTAAATTAATCTGTTTTACTTCAAATTAAACATTTTTAATTTTACCTTAACCCTTTCTCGCAGTAAGAAACGTTGATCATTGATTGGTAAGCATTTTAAATAAAGTTCGTGTATATTTGGGGGGAGGTACTATATAATAATGTGGCTCGTAGAAGACCAAATGCAAATTAATTAAAATTAAAATTAAAAATTGTACAAACTAATATAAATGGATTCTTCTTTTAATTCGAGAAATAGGGAAAAATGTAAAATATGGTTCGAGGTGAGAATATAAAATATGAAAATTAATTATTAAATTAAAAATTGTGCACACTAATATAAATGGATTCTTCTTTTAATTCGAGAAATAGGGAAACATGTAAAATTTGGTTAGAGGTACGAATATAAAATATGAAAATTAATTATTAAATTAAAAATTGTACAAACTAATATAAATTGATTCTTCTTTTAAATCGAGAAATGGCGAAAAATGTAAAATTTGGTTGGAGGTACAAATATAAAATGTGAAAATTAATTATTAAATGAAAAGGCACGATAAAGAAAATGTTTTTCTGAAACCTACATCACACCAGACCGCATCTCACGATTTCTAAATAAAAATTAAATTAAAAATTATATAAAGTTAATTATAAAAATAAAGGATTCCTTTTCTATCTTGAGATAAAGTGATATAAAATAATTCATTCTTCTATTCATTCTAGATTTTTTAACAAAGAAAAATTTTTTTTTCAATATCGAATTAATAGTTACAATCATTAGTTTTTATATTAAATTTTAAGCTTTTAAATTTAGTTATAATTACTTTTCATGAAGTATGTTAGATAGGAATTTTATATTAAATTAACTTTGTTTTTAGTTGTATTTAAATTATTACAACGATTCTTCACAAAAAGAGTAAGCTACGTTTTTATTCTCAAATTAGAAAAAGATTCCTGTAATTTTATATAAATTTTAGCTTTAATCTTAATTAATTTTCATGAGTTATTTTATGTACGAACCTATTTTATATTTTTTAAATTATCAAATTAAAAGAAGAATCCTAGGTATAATTTTACAATTTAATTGTAATGCATTTTCATATGGTCTTCTAAGAGACCAATTATTATTTTTTAGACTCAAATACACAGAAAATTTTTTTTAATGGGTTTTTGACTTAGGTATAATGAAATATTATTATTATTATTATTCATTATTTTAACAAGCCAACCAGCATAACCAGATTCTCGGATTTTTTCCTTTTTTACTTGGTATACATATTTTTTTACATACTTTATAGGTTTAGGTAACGTATAGGTGTTTTTGCAAGAATCAGAAGAAGTTTGATACTTTTTCAAGCAGATATGATATGTATTATGATTTTCGCCATTTTCACTGGTGGTTCTGCAAGACCATAACAGCGAGAGGCGGGTTATGATGGTTTGAAATGTACCTTAAAAAAAAGTCTTGCCATCTAAAAAGAGAGAAGGCCGGGAGAATCGTTCTTGTCGTCCCATTCGTCTCGAAATGAAAAATTGCCGGCAAACTGTATAAACAGTGTGAGATACACTTCCAGGGCCATCAGTATTCAGAAGGTGGGGATCGACGGTAAAGGTTATCCGGGCTCCAACCCTCGGCATAAACGTCAGGTGCCCCACGGTCGCTTGTATTTCTTCATAGAGCCGTAACTCGCCCATGGAGATGAGGGCGACTATAGATTGACTAATAATAATAAATATCTCCGGTCACACTCTTTGACCCTTGCCCCACCTTCCGAGGAGCAACCTCGGCCGTCTCGGCCCGCAGGAAACTAATTTCGATCCTGTTGCGTCTACATGCCACTATTATCATCGGGTTGTGCTAAATCAGAGGAAAATTTATTCAATGGAGAACGTTTATAAATGTGTTTTGAGCCGGAATGATGCATGTATCCTTTACCATGGTCATTCTTTAGTCTCCGAGTCTTTAAAAGAAACCCTAAAAAAAAAGTGATGAAATTTTCTTGCCAATAAGCTTTGTTTTATTAAACAATTGCAAGATTATAAGCCTGAATTAAAAACATAAGTCATTAGTACACGGTATCAACTTTCTTTTCTGAAAAACTGATCAACGTAGAAAACATGTAAAACAATATTTTTTTAGCATGCGCACTACTTTCAAACATTGTAATAATTACAGTTTTGAATTTCTTTAAATTAGAAAATGAAAGTTTTTTTTCAAATAGTAACATATTTTCATTTGTGAAATCATCAATTCAATTCGATTTTGTGAAAAATTGCAAAATCATTTTACAAATCGATGCATAAAACCCTTAGAAATACCGTGTTTAAACTTACTACTGTCTCTTCTAGTTTTATCAAAACCTGTTAAACTTAGAAAAAATATTAAACAGTATTTTCTTAGAACAAATGCCACTTTCAAATATTGTAGTAATTACTATTTTCTCAGTTTCTTAAATTAAAAAATCGAAGTTTTGTTTTTAAACTGGTAACCTAGATTTTCATGTGCGAATTCATCATTTTAATTCGATTTTATGAAAAACTTGGGAATGGATTGAAGTCAGGATAGCTCACGTGGTTAGAGCAGGGCCCTATTGAGCCGAAGGTCGTAGGTTCGAATCCCGCTCGTGACACTAATTTTTCATTTCAACTGAAAACCTTAGATAAAACATTAATTAATGGAAATAATTAATATGGTCAATTATGATCACTAAACCAATATGGATTTACAAAATTAAAATAAAATAAAATGACGAACCTGAAAAGGTAAATTTAACGTTTTTAAATAATTGAAAACAGTAATTGCTGCAATGTCGAAAAGTAGAGCTTAAGCTAATAAAAATAAAGTTTCCAATGTTTTCTCGTCTGACTAGTTTATATAATAGGACTAGTGGCGACACACAGTAAATAATTTACTCAATTATTGAAGCTCTGTAAACTAACTCAATTGATTATATAGCTGTGTAACTAACGTTTTCATGAACCGGTTTTCAACATTTTTCATAAATCCATTATATTTCGTGGTCTATTGACCAAATTAATTCTTTAAATTAATTAATCTTTTTATGTAAGGTTTTGGTTGAAAAGAAAAAGCTAGTGCCACGAGCGGGATTCGAAATTTCATTTCAACCAAAACCTTACATAAAAATATTAATTGAAACAAAATGAAACAAAAAACGTTGAAACAATAACATGTCAAATCAGAAACACTTAATGAATCTTCACCATTCATTTAGGGGCGTCGGTGGCCGCAACGGTTTAGGCGTTGATACGGCGCTCATCACTGTAAGGTCAAGGTCCCGGGTTCGACTCCAGCGGCCCAGCATTCGAATCCGACATACTTACAAATGGGCTTTTTTCAAAAATACCGGCACCCTGAGGATTTATATGACCTCTGCTGTTGCGAACCCTCGTTAAAAAAAGTTAACAATAAAAATAATCACCATTGCTTTTAAGCCAAAACTCCGTACGTGGTTGACCTCAATGTCATTTCAATTAACTTAAATTTTAGAAATAATTATGTCAAATTTAGCTAGATGATTTTAGAAAAATAATCAAGAAATTAAATATCATTACTTACATATTCTATTTATAATAAAATTAAAACTTTTAAATATTGAATGTTTTTGAAATTTGAATTTGTGAATTCAATCATGTAATAGAATGTTTTTTCTTGTTTTAATATAACCAAATAAATCGTTTCATTAAGATCGATTGATTACACTTATGACTTCAACTTAATTCGTCACATTTACAAACATTTTATTAATGATTATTGAAAAACATATTGTTGTAATATTTTTAAAATTATGATTTTAAAAAATAGTTAATTTTTTCTAGGTTGTGTAGTTTTGTGTGGGGTACTTACAATAAATAAGACCATCAACGCTGAATTTCTAAAGTTTTTATGAACCGGTTTTCAAATGGTTTTCACCATTTTTATAAACAGATTTTTGCATGGGTTTTATGAAAAATAAAATTGACTTGATGAATCCATATTATTCTAATATTTTAAGAAATTGACACAAAAACAGTAAATATTATAATGTTTGAAAGAAGAACTTATGCTAAGAAAAATTCTGTTTAATTTTTTTTAATGAAAAATGTTTGAGAAATGTAAGTAAATTGAAACCCTGCATGTATAATGATTTTATGAACCGGTGTTTAAATTGTTTCTACCATTTGCGAAAAATCGAATTGTTTCGATTAATCAGCAAAAGAAACTGTAAGTTATCATTTGAAAGTGCAAGATTTGTTAAAAAAACACGGTTACAATTTTTTCTACGTTGAACAGGTTTTAAGAAAACCAGGGAATAAATTAGTGTAGATACCCAGTATGTACATTATAAACATGAATATATCACGTTACATCTTTCAATTAATTAAGGTTTTTAGTTAAGATAAAAAAGTCAGTGTCACGAGCGGGATTCGAACCCACGATCTCCGGCTAGCTACGCCGCTGCCCTACCACTTGAGCTATCGTGACCTCGCACCACTCGAACACTAACTTCCTATATCGACCCCACCTTTTGAATTTTCCCTCCTTTTTATCTCAACTAAAAACCTTAATTAATTGAAAGATGTTAATTGGTCAAGCGGACCACGAAAACTAGTGAATCTCACGTTATGTTCATATCATTTAATACAGTGGTTTTGCAATTAATCGAAATTTCTATAATTGAACAAAGCTTATTAGATACACAATTATCCTCACTCTATTTTACATTAGAAACTACCTTGACAAACCTGTATCCTGCATAGAAAGGACAATTAAGCTGCGAGCAAATTTAACTTTGACTGAAATTGATATTAACACCACGTCTTCATTTTAATCATGTATAGCAAAGTGTCAAAGTAAGATTTTAAAGTTATAATTTTAATGGAATTTTTAATAAAGCGTGTCAAAAAGTTGACAAATTGGTCAATTATAATTAATCAAATGTAAAATGAACTTGCCTGGCGCTAAATGAATTTTTAAAACGTTTTTTACAAATTTTTCTATTATATAATTTTTTAGTTATATGTATTAAATTAAACGTCCTATGCTTTGCATAATACGATTTTTCGCCATTGCTTCAGTTTTTTCGTTATGAAAGCCGGTGTGATCTTGGTTTTTTCGTAATAGTCTAGCATAAGATATTTCAGAAAAGACCGACGCAAACTTTAAACAGCTACAGATGACTTTTTCCATGGCCGGAGATAAACAAACAATTTATTGTTAGTATCTCATCTTGTAATCATGTGACGGCTATGTGCGCTCCATCGCTTGATGATGTCTTTTTTTATTACTAAGCACTCAGCTCCAAGATAGTTATGCATGCCTCAGTACATTACCCAGTTTTATGAAGTGTTTCTTCTACTTTGAAACGTCTGAAAAATTATCTTACGATCTCACGTGGGTGGTCGCCATACATTTATTTCAGAGAATATATTTTGCATGCGCGGAAAAGTTATTATTTTACATTTAAATTCTAGTTGGAAAAATAGTCACATATGAGGATTTATATATTTTTTTATATATATTTATAAATTTATATATTTTAATATATTTTAAAATTTAGTTTTACGTACAACACTTTCGCAATTGGTGGTATCTGTTGAGAATCAAAAAACACATATTGAGCTGAGTGTCAGGCTCAATGAAGATGGTGGGGAACCGAAACGATTGTTAGTTAAACGCCAACAGTGGAAGTACAAGCACCAAATAGTCGATACATACATTTTGGCTCCTTTCGTTAACAAATTAACCGAAAATAATTGCCTAGGTTTTCTGAGGTTGGTTTGGTACGTTTGGAAACAGGATCGAATCGTTGCGAAACGGATTGTTGAGATCCTGTTGACAGAGATAGTGAGTGAAGAAGCTTTAATAACGTTTCTGAAAATCTTGATAATGCTGGATATTGGTTGTCTTGTTGGAATCTCAAATTTCCACTCGACAAAGTGGAAGCAATTGTTTTACTTTTTGTATATATTTACTTGTGGTTTTGAATGTCAAAACCGATTTTGGTCCTAAAAGTCATCGTAGTGGTACAAATCTTCTTCTGTTAAGTTATTACCTCTGAGAAGTCTTGGGTAGGAATTCCTCTTTAGTCTGTTGTCTAGGTATAGTCTCAAATATCTGGTTAGATCTGGTAGCTTCTTGTAGTTGTTGGGGGCAAGATTTTTTTTTCAATTAAATTTTATATTGTATAAATTTTTCTTAGTCATACTTGTTCTTCACTTTTTGTATCAGTCTTTGATATTCTGAAAGGATGTTAAAGTCGATGTTAAAGGATGCTTGGCTACAGTTCGGGTTACGACAGATGTGTTGGAAAATGTGTAGTAGTAAACAGTCCTGTAGTAAACAGGACAGTACCAAGAATGCACCCTTGAGGGACACCGGCTCGTATTGGTCTGATATCTCATTAATCATTTCTGCATTTCACTCTGAAACTGGTGTGGATATATACATATAATATTGATATTATATTACCATCTCCTTTATCACCCTCACTAGCATAATAAAGATCCACCCCGTTTCTACTAGCCAAGTCGACAAACTTTTACTGAGTTTTTGAGGTTTCCGTGTAAAATTTGGTCTTGACCTATTACGCAATATACAAAGTGTATGAAGTGAGAGAGCACAGGTAGTTAGTGACCTTTGAAAAGACGGTCATTATTAAAGCATTTCTAAGTCGCTGAGTTTTCTGAACATAATGAACATACTCATAAAATTCAATTAATTAAGGTTTTAGGTTGAGATAAAAAAGTCAGTGTCACGAGCGGGATTCGAACCCACGACCTTCGGCTTGATACCGCTACTCTACCACTTGAGCTATCGTGACTTCGATCCCCTCGGGCACTAACTTCCCATCTCAACCCCACCTTTTTGAATTTTCCCTCCTATTTTTATCTCAACTAAAACCTTAATTAATTGAATTGTATTAATTGGTCAAGCGGACCACGAAAAATAGTGAATTTAATACTCATAAAAGATAGACTGATAGTGAAAAATCGATTATCCCCATTAATACCTTCAAAAGACTCGGATATCAGACGAAACTATGTAAAAGTATAGTCTATAGTAAGTACCCTTGAGAAAGAATCACTTCGAAGCCAAAGACACTGACTGTTCAGACGAGGTTGGAGATTCTGGCCAATTCCGAGGAGATCTTAAATCTTTTTCTTCCACTAACTAACAACTTACCATACTTACATCTTCGCCCAGTAGAAAAGTTGCATGAATTGATAAATGTGCCATTTTTCAATGATGATCGTGAGTAGTCTTACTTTGGTCATTTTAAGTAGAATCGAGGATCGTCAAATTTCAAAAGGACTAGCAAAGAAGAAATTTTTAGGTCAGCAACTATTGATTTTAAAGGAACAGCTCCTGTTTGAGTTATTACCCACCTTACAATCCTATTGAACGACAGCAGTTTCAGAGTGAGATGCAGCAATGATTAATCAGATATCAGACCAATAGGAGCCGGTGTCCCTCAAGGGTGTATTCTTGGTACTGTTCTGTTTACCATTTACACTACTCATTTTCCTACACATCTGTCTTCTAATCCTAAGCATCCTCTATTATTGAAGAACTCTTTAAGTATATCAAAGACTGATACAAAAAGTGAATGACAAGAGTGAATAAGAAAAATGTACGCAATATAAATTTCCATTGAAAAAAAAAAAATTATCCCCAACAACTACAAGAAGCTACCGTCTTCTAATCTAACCAGATACTTGGGACTAATCCTAGACAACAGACTAACGTGGGATTGCCACACAAGACTTCTCAGAGTCAATAACTTGTAAGTCGGTAATTATTGTTATAGTAAATGCTGTAAGTCGGTAATTATTGTTATATAGTAAATGTTGAAATACAGCGGAAATATAACCATTAAATTTTTATAATAATCCGACGGTTGTGGTTCAATCTGCTGCCAAATAGGTAACTATAGTTCGGACAGCTGATACGCCAACAGGATAGTAGAAACGCCCTGTTATAATTTGGCCTCGATATGTAATTCGGGCTTTACTCTAATATAAGATTTTTTTTAAAAATACCTAGTTAGAAACTCCACTTGATTTCAGTCTATACACAGAAGACTCTCGTTATCCGCTGGAGATACGAACCAAGCATAGGAGGATAATAGGAAATATCTCGAATTTCAGATATCGAAATATTTTCTGCTCATCTGTACCAATCTAACATTCCCAGCGCGTGTGCATCAATGTTATGGATGAACTTTATGTGCACATATTTCAGTTTTTTTTCTTTTGTTTCCATAAGCTAAATACAATGTTTGGTAGCATTGTAATAAATGAAGGTTATTCCACGCGGGAAAATAAAATGTACATACATACATCAACAGGTATACGCTTATTCACAACATCAATTCACAACCTTTTCGCGGGGCGTCGGTGGCCGCAAGGTTTAGTCTTTGACACGGCGCTCATCACTGTAAGGTAAAGGTCCCGGGTTCGAATCCAGCGGCCCTGCATTCGAACNCCCCTTTGTCGGCTTTTTTCACTTCAAAGAAGCCGACGCCTTACACAAAATTGTCTTTTATATACCTACTTCTTTCCCCACCCCTTCAAAACCAAACATATATAAACATAAAACCGCAAAATCTCACTGGCACTCTCAACAACGCAAGGATGGCACAATTACACAGAAGACAAACACTTTGAGTGAATAGAAATACTTTGATTGAATATATAAAAAATATTTTTTGAAAAAATTCATTTTCCACATTCAAAATGTATTTGTTAAATGTAAACAATGTTTGTAAATCCCAGGCCTTGAAGATGATCTCAATAAAAGGTCAAAACGTTGGCACGGTAAAGAAAATGTTTTTCTGAAACCTACATCACACCCGACCGCATCTCACGATATCTGAATAACTATCGATTAACACTAATCTCTACATAAATTTTCTATGTTTTTCTGAACCTGTAATTTGATTGAATTGATAATTTTTTTCTGTCGTATTTCAATACAATTTTTTTTTTATATTGTGTTTTACGTTTGCAAAATTAGAATGAAATGTTATGGTGGCGAACTATATTGCGTCCTTCAGTTTAACTAAAGCCACTGATCATTATAAAAGGAATGAACAGGCTAAGAGTGTGTCCTCTGAAATGAAAAAAATATCAATACAAAAAGATTATTATTATTGTACGATAAAAATCAAACATATCTTTCTAATCATCTATTCTCACCTATGTACATACATAAATACATAATGTGAACATACAAATATATTATTATTTCTTGTTTTCATATGGTTTACCATAAGTATTGAAGCTTTTTTGAAGTTCAGCATTAGCCAACATTTGTCGCCTTCCTTCCCAAAAAGGAAGAGTGAGTAAAGGAGGAGGCATTATTTTCGAATTGAATGATTGAGGATTTGCCCTTTTTATGTACCGCTTTACTTTAACACCTTGCAAATGTGATTTCGAAGGCACTGAATTTTTACAAAATGGCTTGACTGTCGTCCTATCTAC